AGATTATTTATGACACCATTATTTAAAACGTGTTCAGGAGTCAAAGGAAAAATTAAAGGTTAATTCGACACTTGAAAAGTAGAAAGAAAAACACATTCGGGCTATTGAGCCTTCTTCAGGTGTTCTCCTTTCTATTTCTTAGTAATAAGTCCTTTACACTTACTGTATACAGAGCTTTTCTGGACACTCCACTCAAAACGCTTTACAGGTAATGTGGACTCCCCTCCATCACCACCAGTGTGCAGCCCCACCTGGATGATATGACAGCAGCCATAGTGTTCCAGTACACTCCCTACACACCAGCTCTCAGTGGGGAGGAGAACTGAGTGATGGGGACTATTAGGAGGCCATGATTGGTAAAGTCCAGTGGGAAATTTGGCCAGAATACTTCGGTAACATCCCTACTCTTTCTGAGAAACGCCCTGGGATTTGTAATGACCACAGATAGTCAGGACCAGTTCTACATTTCTTTCTGGGCCATTAGGATCCACACATACTGCAGGATGAGCACCCCCTGCTGGCCACACTAACACCTCTTCCAGCAGCTTTCCCAGGAGGTCTCCCATCCAGGTCCTGACCAGGCTCACACCCGCTGAGCTACAGGGCATTATGGCTGCTGGCAAAGTGTGGAAATAAGCTTCCCTTCACTTATTGCTTTGCACCTCCCTAACTCAACATGTTCAGGAGTGGTTTCACATTTACAATATGTAGATTTGGTCTGAATGACTGCAGAGCACTGGAAATTGTGAATTGCGCACAAGAACCATCAATATGGTTGAAGGCAGAGCTGGCATTTCTTTAATGAGGATCATTTGTGCGCATAACAGAACATTATTAAGTGGTTGGCAAGAACAAAGAACAACCATAGATTTGAGATCACAGAAAAACAAATCTCTTAAGATCTAGATGGAACTCACAGCATCTGCAACACAGGGTACAATTCTGAAAACTGGTCTTTCCAGGTCACTATGATTTTAAGGTGACATATGTAACCTGAGTAGACACTCGGGTTACATATAGCATTTCTTTTCTTATTTTAGGTCAGAATATTTATATTAAATAAGTATACAAGAGTTTTAATCTCTCAGACAGCTGTGAGCTACAAATTCTTGCATTCCTCTGTCATTTCAGGCATTTTCTAGGTTTATAGACCGCAAATAATGAAAGACAATCTGCATCCCAGCCTTTTCCTTTATTTCAGACCATTTCCACACAAGACCTAACAAGAGGCTTAACTTACTGAATCCTGTAACACACAAGGAACCTCTGTCAGTTTAATTATAACCATTGAAGCCATAACCATAGTTTTCATACAAGGTGTAAAGTTACATAGGCATACAAATCTGACGATTGGAAAAAAAAAATGGAAAAACTTGGTCATTATTAAAACATCTTAATTTCTTTTTCAAACACTTTCACTTATATAGAAAGAAACAGCTGTCTTCAAAGTTGTATAAATATAGATCTTTATCTAAAAAATATGTTTTCCAGGTATATAAGTAAAAGATTTGATTTTAATCAGTGTATTTATATGCACATATTTAAAAAAAAACAGCACAGTATTCTGTTTCCCTTTTAAAAACCTAAGCTTGTATGTTGTATGCAAGATGGCTTGAAAAGGTCATGGAGAGGAATCGGAAATCACCTGTCATTTCCATTAATAATGCAGTTTAACTTCTCGCAATTGTCACTTCGCAGAACTTGATTTCATGTCTAAATAAATCCTTTCACTGGCCTTGAATCAATGGCAATTAATGTCTCAGTTCTCATATAGAATTACCCTTCGATTGAATAAGTAAATGCATCCTATAAACAAAAGAATGATGTATATTTATTTCTTTTGTAACCCGTTTTATGATCACAATTTTCAAATCGGAGACAAAGACACTATGGGGTGGAAAAAAGACAAAGCTCTTGGCTCTGTTTCGGTGTTAACTCCCAAAATTTCATGTTAACTCCTTCCCAGCAATCCACTCTGAACACATCCCACGGAACTGATAGTGCTTACCACCGTTTCAAATCGTCAGTTAACACCGTCAAGACAGGACAGGACAGGACAAGAAGTGAAAATGCCAGTAATTAAGATGAAAGCCTTTTCCAATCCTATTTTTTTTACCAAAAGGTATGGAATAAAATTTATTTACACACAACAAGAAGCTGACAATTTTGACACCACACGCATATATTATATATCCTCCTGTGCAAAAAAAAAAATCAATGAATGAAACACCTTGGTTTTAAATGCTACAATGTAGTTTCAATATTGAACTACCAAGGTCGTTTTGGGTACAAAACTCAGCTGATCCCTTTGGGTCAGCTTTTAGTCAGGTCCACAGAAGCGCACAAAGACCACATTCCTGAGAAGAAGATTTGCAATATTCAAACCCAAAGCAGACTAATTGGTTGTGTTAAAAAATAACTAAGTACACTTGACAGGGTTTGGAATGGAAACATTAGCTTCAGCCACATTTGGCATAGTGAAAAGACTGGCTTGACAACCACAGGTGCTGGTCTCCTACTCAATACTGCCAAAATATTACCCTGCCGCGACTTGCTCTTAAGGTCTTCGATAAGAGGGATCATGTCTGAAGCTAAATTACAAGAACAAAAGACGACTAGAACCAATGAAAAAAGTGAAACAATGTTTTGGTCATTTCTAGTTGCATTAAAAGCAAGAAGATTAAGACATCTTTTTTATAGGTTAAGTGGTTGCTTTTCCAAGACTGAGGGTTTGTTAAAAATATAACCTCAGTATTGTATATCCATTTGCACTGAAGTCTCATCCTGTGTAAAATCAGTCATGTTGGCATCCAGATGTCTGTAAAGGCTCCCCAGATACCCTGTACTGAAATGCCGTTAATTTCCTGAACATTGAAATGGGTTATTTCAGAATACTGTTCCTTAATCACCAATAACAAACTTCTACTGTAACTTTGAGAACAGCGAGGAGGACACCAGGATTTGCAGCAGGAGAAGGGGATCTTTTAAAACGATTTTGCAAGACCTGATCAAAGCCAACTCTGTGTGAGAACCATACACAACGGATGGTAAAAACAACAGTTTCCCACAGCACGGTCTCACATGTGCCAATGTGGAGAATTTCTAATACACCTAAATTTCCAGCATGTATCTATTAGGCACTTTCATATCTTTGTGGATTTTGAGCTTTCATACAGTTTTAGGTTGCAAATTGATGCTTTCTAACATTGATTGTGACCAAGCACGTGCCCTGCTTATTTGCTTTGAGACCTTGCAGTAAATTATACTTCCCATTTGACAGAATAAAGAACAAAACGCGTTCCTCGAGTAAGGGGCGGATTCTGGAATGCAGAGGACTGGGGGAGGTGCTGGCTCATTGGTGGAGGCTCTGCGTCTTTATTACGATGACTTCTCTTTCTTAACTCTAGAAGACTCTGCTCCATTGGGAGTAAGTGCCCCGTTCACACCGTTAGCTGAAAAGCAAGCCAAAAACATTTCTTCAGGTCAAGGAAATCAAACATTTTAACCGACAGGCGCACAGAAAAAGCCTTGACCATAACATTTCAAACCTCTGCTGTAACCCCAGTTGCATTTTTGTGGTCAGGCAACAGAAAGTGTGAAAGGCTGTACCTCGGTCATAAATGGTCACCGAGTCCCGACACGTTTATTTGTGTTCTTCATCGCACTGGCGTATCAAATCTCTCTCAATATTGTTCAGGAAAACCCGAGACGAGCTGGGACCCTGAGAAATATTTATCTAGGACATAACACATTCTTTACTCAATTCTATACCGTCTGCAACACAACCCACTTTTTCCCTTATGACTAGAAAAGCAAAGTGAACTGCCTACTGAGTGAAAGAAAAGTTCCTCAGTTTTTCTCGGCCCGACAAGAGTTGCATTTGGCTTTTTGAGCAACTGGTGCTCACGAGGGACGGACTTTTTCCACTGGTCTGCTCCGCTCTGCAGGACGCAGGGAAGCTTCGCTCCTCCCAGTCCCCCACCAACACCAGTAACCGGCTCGCAGTCGGCAGCTGCTTTACGAGGTCGCCTGGGCCACTGACCTTTGTCTTTTTTAGATGACCTGCTTTTAGCAGGAGCCGCCTTCTTCTTCACTGCCTGAGCCTGGGCACGCTCTCTCCACCTCCGCAGCTGGAAGTTGATGAATTTCCACATCATGAACGCCTGGGTCAGACAGATCGCAGCCAGCACGGTGATCCTGCAGCAGAAAGACACCTTCCGCTTTAATAAAGGATCTTACGCTGGTGGGCAGCACATCATACAATGCACAACCCCAGTGTCTTGCATCTGTGAATATTAATCAAAGGGATCCAGTCTCCACAACTGCAAAGTGCATAAAGCATTGATGATTAAATACCATAATTAAAAGGCATGTTAATTATTCAATACCTCCCAACAAAAAGATGCAAATAGTAAGAAAATGCTTTAATAAAATAGTTTTAAAGTGTTATAATTTAAAGTGTAAATAATTTAACATACAACTAATTGGCCAGAAATACCAATGTCACAGTTATGTTGCCAGCCATGCTTCAATACACACCAATACATTTGCTGACAGAATGTTTCAGTAATTTGCATTCATCTAGTGTGATCTAGTGGGGCTAAAATCAGCTTAATACCTTCACAGACACTCCAATCCTCACCAGGACAGGTGAACTGATCATGAATAGATGTATCAAAGCTTATTGCGTATCCATTCATTTCCATTCCCACTAGAACAACAATCCCACCAATTGGAATGTTCAAGCTGACTATTTGTCTAAGAGTTGTTTTCACAGTTAAGACCACTATACCACAGGTCCCTTGCAGCACACGTTCCTTCAACACACCCACCTGTCACCCTGACCGATTACAATCTCCACAGCCCCACCGGAGACTCAGCGCCGATGAGGAGAGGGTCACTCCTCCCACCGGCATCACTGCAAGCTTCACGGAGCCGAAGCCTCTGCTTCTCCAAGACCCAAGAGAGGCGAAGACTGGCCTCAGCTAATAGCCACACTATCTCACCGGCCCTCTACAGTCTGCAGGCGGTTACTGACACGACCCTGACTCAATCCTGCGATGGCTGGCCCAGAGCCACTAGCAGAGCTTAATGACAAGAACCTCCAAAGGCCGCTCCCTCCCAATGTTATGCTTTTTTTTACTTGTGGTTTCAAAATGACGCCATCCGCCAACGCCACCAGTCGTGCTCCCAGCAGTCAACACGGACAGCAAATAACACTGATCAGAAAAATAAAAATCCTTCTACCCTCCCCCCTCTGAACCACTGTAAAGAACTTTCTCTTGCATGTGGTGAGATTCTTTCCACTCTTTCCTTTCTACCAAACTCACCTATTGTCAAGTTATTTTCATATCGGCCTCCATCATCTACATACTCCTACAGCTAAAAATCTCACTGGGCATGTTTATTGCTACCAAATTTAACTGATACCAAAAGGCCCAACACTACTTCATACCTGAGCTACTAATTCAGAGGACGTTTTTATCTAAAGCAACTTATGTTTGCACACATATTGTATATACAGCTGGATATTTTACAGGACCAATCCAGATGAAATATATTGCTCAAGCACACAGCAGTGGCTCACCAGGAATGTGACTCAACAGCCTTCCAGCTGACGAGGCCAGAACCATGACCACTCCTCCACACTGCTGCTTTGTGGTGTCTATACTGGTAACCTCCCAGTTCTTGGTCCTTGCCCTAGCCCTCTTAGAACCCACAACTACGAGCTTCCCCCCTCAGGAGATCTTGTATTTACAGAGAACTTAAACAGTTTAGGAAAAAAAATGAAAAATAGTCCAAATAAGACCAGCCTTTGCATAAATGTCCATATATTTTGAACAAACTTCAGGACACTCCCTCACAAAAAAGCAAAACATTCCTAAAATCCTCTAAAACACTTTTAAAGTGTTTTTCTTTCCTTAAAGAGGCAAAAAATTGTTTTCTATAGGTTTACCTGACAAACAGAACATTGAAGTTGCCCTCGGCGATGTCCAGGCCCTGCTGCTCGGCGCCCGCCAGGCCGAACCCCACCGCCAGCACCGACAGAGACAGCGTAAGCAGCCGGCCGAGGACGAAGAGAACAGCCCACACCGTGAACCTGCAACGCGCACGGAGACGTCACCCCACGGGCGAGGCAGAGGCGGGAGCTGTCCTGAGCACAGCCACTCCAGGACCAGCTCCTCAGGCCTGCTGCCTGCCCGCAGCAGAAGCGCACAGAAAAAGCGTGCGGACATTAATGCACCCTGTCTGGAAAGACACTGTCCATTTCTACGCAGTGAGGCGACAAAATTAACTTACAGAAGAAAGCTAACATCTCGGATGGAAAAGTATGCCCTTCTAGGATTCTCCTTGAACGGATTCACGTGTTAGGCTCATTATTGCTTGCTCATAACCAGCATTTAATAATGTGGAGCATTGTCACTTCTTGCAAGACACATCAAAGGCAAGCCTGAACGATGAATCTATGTCCACTCCTCACACACATTTAGCCTGATTGCTAGAGGTCAGCATTCCTACACACTTCAATACACCCTGTTGTACAGTGACGCAGCCTGTCTAGGCTCCGGAGCTCGACGTACCCTTTCCCCGCAGGGACACGCTTGGCTGCTTACCCAGTCTGCCTGTTCTCATTGCTGAAGTACACGAGGCGGGACATGTGGAACAGGAGCTCCACGAAGTAGTGCAGCACCAACAGGACCAGGCCCAGGCGATTCAAGCTGTGGGGACAGACACACCTGAGATTAGCCCACCTGTGCTGGCCTAGCCCCCCTCCTGGACTTGGTCAACATCACTCTTCACAGGTACTCACGAGAGGAGATATGCGCCCGCGATGTGGACCAGGTAGAGGCTAATGTACACCACCTGGCGTGGAATATCCTCCTGCAATGTGAAAAGGTAAACAGAATAGTGTTATCAAATTGCTAGAAGACTGTCAGTCACAGAAATAAATCGTGAACAAGCAAAGCAGGTTAGCGGTGTGGAGGAATGTTTCCAACGTGCAGGGCCAATACCTCAACAACACCAACCGTCACCGTCAAGAATAAAAACCGGAAGCCACAGTTCCAAACGGTAATAGTTCTTCCCAACCTGAGATGGATCGGCCACCAGAAAACGTCAGGCAGAGGAGCCCTTGAGCCTAAAAACGATGCATACTTACCTTTTTGGTTTTCTGGAAATACAGCTCTGGGAAAGCATGCAACCAATATCCCAGCTGACAGATGTAAAAAAACTTCATCTGGAATCTGGACAGAGAATGGATCACATGGGAAAAAAAACTAATTAGAAAACCCACCACAGCGCAATGAGCAATGAAGAGGATGATAGTGGATGAAGCAACTTCCACTGTCACCCCAAACCTCAAATCAGTCCCTGTAGGTCCTAAGATCTGCTCCTGCCTCACTTCTCATGACTTCAAGGCTGCCATTTATTTTTGCATCCCCGTAATTTATTCCAGAAACTACTAAAACTTTACAATTTATCACATCTGTATGCTTTAGGCTGAGGTGTTTTCACACCTGTTCCTTCCTGTTTGATCTGAACTGTGGTTCTCTTACAAACCTTTTGTTTCAGTTGACGTTCAGGTCATGTTTCTGTGAAGGTGATTTCACATTTGCATGTCCTTCACTTGCAGCTTCACACAGACCAGAACGGTTAGAATTAGGCACTTTTTCCAAAAACAAACTCATATATACACTTGTATAGAGAACAGTTTTTCCCCCATCAAGGAGGACACGTACTGGGCTCTTCCTTTATCTTTGGTTTATTTAGCATCTATCTCAAATAATTGATTAAGAGCATTACATATTTGGAAATACATATGGAAAGCGGAGATGTTTTGTAGGGACATTTATGAGGGACATCTGGAGCACAGAACTGTCATGCAAAGCGATCTCTGGTCATTTAGTTTGATTATATAGCTTTTGCAGGTTTCATATATGGCTTCCAGTGACTCACACTACTGTTAACTCACATCAAATGGCCAAACATTGGGAAAGCGCCCTTTGATTAAAAATGCACTCCTCTTTTCTTGCTCTTGCACTTGCACTTACATGTGGCCATTAAACAAGTCTGCCAAATCCATAATTAAAGTATGGCGGAATTCCTTTAACATGCATTGATGATCTAACCGAGACATTTACTTAAACACACAGATAGGATATTAACAAGACCCTTACAGGGCAAGTATTCCAAGTTTTTTTTGTATATCAAATCAATTAAGGTCCTACTTACTGCATTAAGCGGTGGGGATATCCTTCCCATAAACTGGCAGGGTCAGCCAAAATATTTTCCTGATCAAAACAAAAATAAAAAAATTGTCTCAAGAAGAACAGAGGTCCTGAAAAGATTTCTCCTGCTTTAACATTTTGGTTAGCTGGTCTTTATTCCCCAAGACAACTCTGATGATAAAGGGCCACAAACTTGCAGGGTTTTATTCTAGCTAAGCTCTTGGTTAAACAATTAAACCCTTAACCGACTTAATGAGACGGTTCGTTTCACTGCTCCTAGCTTTTAAACCTGTTGGGAGATGGCCTTTTAACTATTCCTTAAGTAAAATAAAACGCCAGACTTTTGAGTAGAAAAAAAACTTGCAAATATTCTGTTCAAGCTACCTGTTACTTCAATTGTTACGCCAAGTCAGAAAAAGGCCAGGCTGACTGGTGATGATTCCTGAAAGTCAAGCTGAAGGCAAGACAAGAAATGTATTCAACCTTGCACTGGCTTTAAAAGCCACCAGTGCAAACATCAAGAAAGTTCAGTTCATTCTGGCTGTTAAAATTATTATTTTTGCCAACACAAACCATGAAATGTTTATTTTCATATTTTCAAACAAAACCATTTGCGGGGACTCCTGACCGTGCACGTGGATTCCCAGAGCTCAGGCTGGGCAGCAGTGTGCAACAGGCAGAGGGCTGCCCAGAGCGGGCAAGAGCAAGTGTGGACAAGGACAATGCCAGATAAATGCCAGCTTGTGAGAGTCTCATCACTTCCCCCCATCCCTGCAAGCTCTGCTGTCAAACACCGGAGCCAGCATGTTCCAGAGGAACAGTGTGCATGATCCCAGCCCTCTATTCCATCTGTCATGTTGAAGTGGAGCTGTTTCTCAACCGGTGATGCACCACTAGAAGCAAAAGAAACTGAAGGATGTTGATCCCCACATTCATAAAGTCACCTATTTGTGCACTTCTGGTTCTGTTAAGTTTTTGTTCCCAAGCTGCACACAATTCGGACTGACACAGATTTTTGACGCACTCACCGACATGATGATGCTCGCTCCCCAAACACAGGAGAACAAGTAGAAGGCACTGAGCTGCCCAGATTCATTGAACTTGCTGTGCTTCGTTTTGGAAAAATGCATCTTCCTGTTGATTTTCTAGGCGACAACAGACAAGCCTTCACAACAAAATCTTATATAAAATATTAGATATTTTACAATACTTTATATAGAATAAGAATTGCTTCATTTAAACTACTGTTATATACAATTTCATATATAACCTCCTTCAATTGCACATTTCCTATTTTCCCCGAGATTTAAAAAAGATGTGACTATGAGAAATGCTTCCTCTCAGGTTGCTGGCACTTCAAATACAGCTTGCGCTCATCATGCTTCCAAATACAAAATATTATCCTATATCGCAGGACTGTACCCATTTTATTTTTATTGGTTCTTCACTTTGAAACTTCAGATTGAGGAAAATAGAAAAATGGTCCAAAATTCTCCTCCCCAGTTTTTTTTAAAAACTAAACAAATGCAAACATTCTCGACTGCATAACCACAATATGACCAGATGTTTAAAAAATGCAGAAGTAAAATCCCAATTAAAAAAAACACAGAAATAAAGGCATCACTGGTCATTACTGTTTACTAACAAGGGCTGCACATCTAACTAACTAGGAAAATCGGAAGTGTGGCTTTCCATACTTACATCCAGAACATATTCCTGGATGATGGCATGCATGATAATCGCCACCAGCATGTAGAAGAAAACGGTGGCCAAATCCTTCAGACCATGATGAAAATAGTTCACCGTGGTTTCCTCAGGACCTTCTAGAAAACAACAGTTCATTTTAAAACCCAGTGGCGGTCCACTTCATGAAATATATAGACAGCTCTCTCATTTGAAACCCAACATTTTGAGATGTTGAAGGTCGTTTTAGAAACAAATTACAAATCACATTTTCAACACAGTCGTTTTGATTGTATAAAAAAAAACACTACAAGTAAAGGTCCATCACCTTTTAGAAATAAAGGGAACAAAGCTGAGCAGTCAAGGGAGGACAAACGTTCAACCACAGACAAGACAGCTCGCTCTCATGGGAATTTAAAACGGAGAAGATCCAGGCAGCACCTCCATTAGACTGTTTTGGTACAAACTCTAGTACCAGTCTCAAGTCAGTACAGAGCAATACCTGACACTCACGCCCCTACAGACTTTACAGCCCACAGTTCCTGGCCAGGAGACCTCCTGGGAAAGCTAAGGTTACTGCTGGAAAAGATGTTAGTGGGGCCAGTAGGGGGCGCTCACCCTACAGTCCATGTGGGTCATAATGCCCCATTACAGTGACAGGGACACCGATAACGGGATAACTGATGTGTGGTGAGCGCAGTGGCGCACTCTGACTGCTGTCGCATCATCCAGGTGGGGGCTTGGTGGAAGGGAGTCCCCATTACCTGTAAAGTGCTTCGAATAGAGAGTCCAGAAAAGTGCGATGAGTGTAAGGAATCATTCTTCGCACACACATTCAAAAACAAAGGCTACATCTTCCACACCTGAGGGATTATGGGATTTTAGAAAACTGCTCCCATGACAACAGTTGAGCTACACTTTAGTAAACACTGATCCTTTCCATAAGCGATTGATTTGATTAGATCATGGTAGATTCCTATGAAATCTGGGATCTACCATTTAAAGAAACCTAAAAAAGCAGTACTAATTTAAGTTTTGTGCTAATTTGCACAAATTGCAGGCATTCTTTTGAATCTGTAGAGCAAGATATACCTTCGTAAGAATCGTACCCTCACTCACAAAACATCTCACAATACACCATTCGGAATAATATCAGTTATCTTCCAAGATGTAAGAAACCATCAAGTATTGCTATTAACTTGAAACAAAAGATGTTTTCATTTAAGAGAACAACTTTTTGAACTCAAGAAACTTCAGTTTAGTTAAATGTAAATAAATATGAGCTTTGAAGTATTGCAGAATCATTAAATACTTCAAGCAATTTCAAAATCAGAACAGAAATTAGGAACTGAAACAAGCGCTTGCAACACACGGGAAGTGTTTAGAGCTCAGCCGTTCCCAGTTCAGAGTCAAAACACGCTTCACTAAGAAAAAACATCTCCATATGTGGTATCCCCTCCCACCCCCCATATCTCCAGAGTACAGCAGTCTGATTTTACTGTGGACAGCCTCTAGCACAAAGATCCTGGTGAGTGTAGGCTTTAGGTGTGCACTTTTCTCAAGATGGAAGTTCTTCACAAATAATGGAAAATCGCTCATTTGAGCTTATCAATTTTCAAAGTATTGGCACAGATTCTCAATATTCTTGAACATGTTGAAAAAGAGACTTCAGGCCAGAAGAACTGAAAAGAATTGGAACCACTATGGTGACGTTACGTGTAAACTGGACCCAGTTTGACATTGGTGATACTGAATTGAGAATGGAAGTGCAGCATAATGGAGCTCAGGCAGCAGAGCATACTGGGCAGTCACAGTATTGGAGGCACGTTTCTAATAAGCTGTACGACCGGCTGAAACTGCAGAATAGTTTTTTAGCATCCTGATAGACTAAATGGAGCTCTCAGATTGTGACAAATCGACCAAGCCTATGAGGCTTGAGGTCAAAATCCTATTTATTTGAAGAGCCTGAAACACAAACAAGGAAATCCTCATTTTTTTAAAAAAAAAAAGATACACTCCCCATTGGCAGGTGAGAAAATCCTAAAATATCTGGATATTTCTTGCTCCGTTTCTACAGAACCTGCAGCAATGCACTTTTATGAAGAAGTGAGCCAAACCACAGGTCCAGGTAAACACTGCCTGCTGCTTACTGAACTGTTCCTGTTACGGATAGTCATCTACAAATCATTACAGGCAGTTGTGAGGCGGGTGCTAAAGTTCAAAGCACTATCGAACAGCACCGTGAAGGAATGGTTAAGAGCCTTGGACTTGTAACTGGAAGACTGTGGGGTGGTGGCACACACCAAATGCTTCAGTAAATTGTCCAGCAGCATAAGTGATAACAGCCAGATATAAGGGCTGCCAGAAACCCCTGTAAGCACAACAATCAAGATGCAGCTTCAGAAAGCTTAGCACTTATCAAGCACAACCACAAGGATATTGTTGCCTGTCAATATACAAGCAGTTAAGGGAGTCCAATCCTTTCAAAACAGATTTGGCTCAGTTAGCGTGAGCAATTTGATTCAAATATACAAGATCCCGAGAAGAGTCGACAGGGAGAACTCAGGGGACTACTTCATACCCAGCAGCGAAACAAGGATGTAGTTTCCACCATAGGAAAGCAAAAGGATACTCCGTTAGGGCAGAGACTGTTTTTTACAAAAAGAGTGATGGGTATTTGGAACAGGCTTCAGTGGTGAGACCCAAGCTCTGGGTACTTTTAACACAGGACAAAGTTTATTTTCACTTGGCGATTAAACTACAAAATCAGTGAGATAGGCTGAATGGCCCCCTCTAATTTGCATCCTTTATACTGGTCTTCTGATAAATGCAAAGTCATTTCAAGACAGTCTGGGGGTAGTAAATGTGATATTTTTATATTTCTGACATCACAAGGAATGTCCCGCCAACTTGATTTTAATTTAGTCAAATCAAAATCAACTCAACACACCCAGGTTCTGAGAGAACGGTGCCAGGTTCTAAAATTAAGGAGATTCAATACCTGAAGAATTTGTAAAAGCATTTTGGCAAGAACTCAATGCACAATAAACAAATCAATGCAAAGCATAGCATTGTTTACTGGGGACTGATCACTGATCTTCAGATAATAGCACACTTGAGGTAAAATTCCATTCCCGTCTCACAGCACAATGGGCTGAGGAAGCAGGAAAAATGTCCGGATGTACACCCAGTTGGTTATCCCACCGAGAAAGAAAAATTACAAATGTAATACAAAATGAAAGGTTTGTCTCTAAAGGCTTGTCGTCTCTCTCTGTGTTTCTTCCACATAGTTCTGTGGAAGTTAAAGTTCAGCTAACACCTCCGTGGATAGTACAAACAAAAATTAGTAACATGAAAGTGCTGAAGTGGAGTGAAAATATATCACACACAAAAAAGCAACGAAATGGATAGTTAAATGTGTCATCTCTGGGCACTTGTAGCTGAGCTTCTTACAAAACGACAATGGTGGTCAGGTGAAGTTATGGAATGAAACGTCCTCAAAACACTATTGCTGTAACACATACAGGAACGGCAAGTTGTGGAGAAAGACACTTACCATTTACTGAAATAGTAACATTATACTGGACGGTAATGAACAAAACAGCCACTTTGGAAGTAACCTGTAGCAAAAGAGGAAAAAAGAAATCCCTTTATCCACGATTTCTTTGTAATTAAGCTTGCGCTACATTATGCGGAGTAAGACTAGGTTTTGGGGAGTGTAACTGAACCCAACCAACCACACCACTATTCGCCAAAGCACTGCTAAAAAAAAAAAAAATACATCTGGACCAGTGGCCAACACTGCAGTGATTTAACTTGACAGTCGACTAACGAGTGTGAATAGTCAGCTGTTTAACAACAAAAACATTTAATGATGACCAAACAGTCAAACGCAAGCGGAAGTATATAAAATGGCAATCATCTGCATTTATTCTAGCAGTAATACAGCGTTCCTGTTCATCTTGGGAGCAGACGGCACAATCCAGACAACCCAGCGCGCCTGAGTTCACATTCAACAGCACTGTACACGTCACCTTACTAAAATGTGTTTCGCTCAAGCCGAGCGCCTTGAGCGCACAGAGCGCTGGGAGCTGTAGTCCTGTTAACGCTGACCTGCAAGGTGTCCCGCTTCCCAGGGAGGAAAAAAAAAACACTCCCAGGAAGGACTTCATCTCCCAAGGTGCACCGCTTCGCACTCAAGGAAAAAAATTTAATGTTCAGCGTACGGCTCTGGTTGTTTTAATACTTAATCTCGCAAATTAATCGTCTTGCATTGCGCTCCAAGTGTTCATCTTGAGCTCGGAAACGCATTTTTATGTTTCGGCAGTTTACGCTGCCTTTGGACATCCATTTTTTTTTAAGATCAGGGATTGCCAGATAGTTACCAGTCACTGAGTGAATGCCACGTAACACTTAAATCTCACAAAAAACGGCGAGTTCAGAGATGCACCATTATCATTACGACCACATGATTACACCTCAATAAATTCTATAACCTGAACTGCAGATCACTACAGGCAATTATTTTCGTTGTTTTTGTTCTTGCCTTTTCTTTTAATAAAAAGTTCGGTCGAAATTAAGAGTATGTCTTTACTAACTCGCTTATCATCTGCTGTTACCCTTATTTGCTACTATTTTAAGCTTCGTGTACACGATACAAACAAACTCAATGTGCCAGTAAAAAAGGGATGAGAAATAAACACGCAAAAGGGCCTCTAAAAACTTTTATTCATTTTGTCGAGGAAGTAGTGTGACCGTCTATCCTCGTATTGCAGAGGCTCAGTTATCTGAAGTATCTTTCAATCAATCTCAAGGATCTCATTTCCCCCCTCGACACAATAAAATAATAAGAAGAAGAAGCCGCGATGAAGTCCAAGACCTAAAATAGCAAAAAAATAAATAAATCGCATTTTCCTACCTCAAACATCAACCCGAGCAGAAACAACATAGCAACACAGGAAACGATGTCTGCATGGTTCTGGATAACAAAGTCGTGGCTCAAGACAGGCGGGTTCTTGCTAGATTTCTTTCGGATGCCCATGTTGATTAATTGTTTGCTGCAGCCTTGATTTCTCTGTTCTTCCTCCCCCGCCGGCCGCTGGAAAACCGCTGGTAAGGACAGGAATACGTCTACTACGAGCGCGGCTGCTCTCTGCCACCCCTGCTGCCGTACCGTAGCGCACTGCTGGCTGATGAAGACGGGGCAGATCTGCTGCGCTGGCCCTCGCAGTTTAAGGCGGCGCCACCTGGCCGTGTGGAGTCACATCAGGATGCGTGACTGCCTGCCAGCCAGCCAGCCTGGTGCTGGGGTGCGCCTTTTGAGCGACGGCTTCGGCTCGGGTCGACGCTGCCGGCTGAAAACCCCGTAAAATACAAGGTAAAAGAAAAAAAAAACGTGCGGTGAGGCGAACCGACGCATTTCATGCACCACGGGTTGCGATCTCGACTACTTTTGCGGGCATTATCTGTATGCAATCTGAATATCGCACGGTACAGCGATGGGAATTAAGTGCTAGTGGCACTGTACCCATTGTTGGGCACAAATGCATCAGTTGTGGTTGGCGTGTTCACACGTTCATGATTTATCAGTGAAATGCACTTCCTTATACAACCAACGCCACCAAGCAACGAACGATGCTTTGATTTTTTTTTAGTTTAATGTCAGGGACAGCACGCAGCTTATAAACTGCACCAGGGTTAGCTGAAACATTTACTTTTCCTGCTGAGTGTTTTGACCAGTAGTCTAAGGTTTCATTGTAGTAGACTAAATTACAGAGATTACTGTGTTACTGATGACTTTGTTATTTAGAATGAAAGAGCCCCTCTTCCTTATAATGCAAAATTGCCAGAAATACACAATTTAAGAACTTTAGATAAAAGTTCTCATACCTTATTCCACAGTAATTGTTAAAGTTTCCACGTGAAACCAGATGTTTACACTAATAGCCCCACAAAGTGGTTTATTAGCATAACAATGGGATCCATATTGCACTTTTCAAATAATTAAACTGAGGGCCTTGCTTTATTATGTACAGATGATTGAAATCATATTCAATATTTTGTGTACTGACTTGGTGCAATCCTTATACTACATTATAGTGGAGTCACAGCCATGTTTACCTAAATAAACAATAACAAATTATATCCTACACAAATGCAATTTGGCTTCTGCATGCTCTTTTAAATCGATTCGTCATCTGTTTAAAAATGTGAACCATCAACTCTTTAAATATGATTAAATGGTTTGTGTTTCTTTCATTCAAAAAAACAAGAACCTCGAGGGGTGTTTATCTTTCCACTAGTGAGCTATGATTAAAAGTGTTCCTTATCCCTTGAATGATAAGACTTCATGTCTTGACAACTTGTGCTGCATGACTTCTTGTCAGAGAAACTCAAGGTTATGTTGTTTCGATGTTTGACAATGATGATGGTTGAACACATCTGACATTCACATTTAAGAACAAGTAAAAAGGTCACCCCTGTCACTCAATGCCAGCCTGAATCCCATACCAAATGTATAGAATATTAAACTGTTGTATTGGTTCAGAGGTCATTTTGACTAGACATAGTCTCCTTTCTATATATTGTAAATCTGAACGTGATATCTTAAAACTACACATTCTTAAAGCATGCTAAAATGCATATTTGAGGGACTGAAATGTTTTATGAAACTAGTTCCTCTTTGCTGGTATCACATCTTTAATATGGCTGCTTATTTAAGTGGGGGGTTTGCATTGGAATCATGTTTATGACTAAGATCTCTACGTGCAGCAAACAAAAATCAATAATCGACCTGAAAATGCTTAGTAGTGAACGATATTTCAGTTAAAGAGGAAAAATAGAAAATTTAGTTTAGTACACTACATTCAGTATGTTCAGTCTAGTAAATTCAGAGAATTCAGACAAAGGAAACAACAAGACACAGACCCCACAAAAAAGTGAAAGCCGTAATACACTGATCAGGACGACCTCAAGGTGGAGCCACTGAGTCAGACAGTGGTACCCAGAGCTGTCATCCCCTCCATGGGGGCTTGGGGCTCCTCGTGACTCTGCTCTCGTGACGCACGGCTCTGTGGTGCAGTTTCCCGGCCTGGTAACAGGAGGACTGGCTGGTCTCCTGCCAAGACTCGAGCTAACAGGTCTAACTCGGCACAGGCCCACATGGGTCCAGAACAGTGGTCCTGGTCCTGGTGACTCACACGCCTGCTGCTGTTCACCCCAGCCCGCCTTCGCCGGGTCACCGAAGCCTCGCTTGAGCTAAGAAACTACTTCAGTGGGATACTGGCATGGTGTTTCTACTCCCAAGTTCGGGATTTTATTACTCGCAGAACACAACGGTTAAAGCTCCAACTTGGTTAAGAGCAGGGAACAAACAGCTCCAATTAATCAGATAATGAAGTCAATGAAGGGTTGGATTGTGGAACGGAGGGCTCAGCTGTACCCAAAGCCAATAGGTGTGTGGGTCACCAGGACCAGGATTGGGAACCACTGATCTACAATGTCTGCTGGACAGAACTGATAGTGCAGCCCCCGTGGGCTCAGACAGCCCTATAGTTTGGTTTGCACTTAGCAGAGGAGCTTGCTTGCCCTTCCTGTGCCGGATGTTTTCCAACCGGTAGAACTCTGGGTGTAGGAAGGAAACGGTCAGAATGGTGTCTAGGACTGCCTTGGTGACCCCTGCGACAGTGCACTGATTAATCAGCACAGGCTCCCCAGCAGTCTGGCTGAATGGTGCAAGGTGTCAGTTATTGGATGGTGACAGGCGAAGGTCAAACAGATAAGATCACAGCCTACTGTTTACGCTGCCCCACTGGCGTTAACACTAATTCGCCATTAGATCTCACAGATAAATCAAGCAGGTAAAGAACTCTGGTGGGATTTTTAGTGACAAGCTGAAGTGGCTAACAAAGTTGCTTTTCTGGAGCTAACAAAAGCAACATTAACGATCACGATCCCCTGTTCTACGGCTGCAGTCAAAATGTATTTTCATCTTTCAAGCGGTTACAAATCATAGCTTGTCAGAATTTAATGCCAATTGTGATGGAACTAAGAAAGTGTACAGATAATATTATGCTATTCGCCCTACTTGGTGTGGAAGTTAATAGCTGACTGATGGAAGGATCTTATTCATCCAACTCTTAAAAGCAGTCTTGAAGGCTTCACAGAACTGCCTGGATTGATTAGGAAATATAGCACAGCTAAAATTGTCATGCATTTGTTAATTTTTTAAAAAATCAGCTGACATGCAACTGCCTTTTGATTTGCAATCTGTTTAATCAATATAATATTTTGAACATTTCCCCCCCAGAGTTTCCAGTGGTAATGCACGGCCATGTTTTCATCCTGAAAACCGGTATAAAAAAAAACACTTCTTGGTTTACAAAAGCATGCAGACAAACAAGCTAACAGATTGTTATGAGGTGCTGAAATATCAGCTGCATCATTGTTCCCAGGAGTTTTTTTAAACTTGAACTGCATTATTAATGTGATGTGAAGTAAACCTCTGTAGGTGGAATACATCTCAGAAATTGCCACAGTTATAAACCTTAATACGTGAAGGTGTTATTTTGTTGACATACTGTGGCCTCCCTGGAAACTAACAATCATGTGTTATGATTGTGATGCTGATATTATTATTATATAATAGAGATATTATACAAATTTAATTATGATAGTAATTGCTCACACCTATAAAGTACTTTTCTGGACACTCCACTCAAAGCACTTTGCAGTAATGGGGATCCCCTCCACCACCACCAGTGTGCAGCCCCACCTGGATGATGCGACAGCAGCCATAGTGCCCCAGAACACTCACCACACACCAGCTCTCAGTGTGGAGGAGAACAGAGTGATGAAGCCAGTTCATAGATGGGGATTATTAGGAGGCCATGATGGGTAAGGGCCGATGGGAAATTTGGCCAGGACACCGGGGTTACACCCCTACTCTTTTCCAGAAACGCCCTGGGATTTGTAGATTTTACTACAGAGTCAGGACCACAGAGAGTCAGGACATCGGTTTTACATCTCATCTGAAGGATGGCGCCATTTTACAGTATAGTGTCCCCATCACCAGACCACAGGGTGAGCGCCACCTACTGACCCCACTAACACCTCTTCCAGCAACAACCTAAGCTTTCCCAGAGGGTCCCCCATCGAGGTACTGACCAGGCTTGACCAGAGTTGCAAGGTCATATGGCTGCTGGCTGCTGTGATGTACAATTTGGTGATGAGGAGGAAGTCTGGCTTTAAACTTTACCTATATGTCTCTCCTGACAGCTATCCTAGTGAGCCGCTTCCACCTGAACAAGTTCATTAAAACTACTGAGGTAGTCATGAACTACCTTTTATTTCCATAAAATAAACACAGTTAAACACTACAGGTGTCCTTTGCTTGGGAATGGTTAGCATATTAAAATCACTTATCACCCACTCTTGACGTTTTATGATGAAAGGAAAGCTCATTAGACTGGCACTTCATTTGTCTTTGTTCAGAATAAAATTCAGTTTTAGCAACTGTTAGTACCTGCTCGTGTCCGTGCGTGTCTGTACCATATGAGACATTAGTGGAGTCTGTGAAAGCACAAGTCCACCTGATCAACATGTTATTTTGCAATAAAAGGACACAAAGAAAGCATATTTCAGAACCATCAAATTGGGAGGCCTTGTGGGACAAGAATTGTCACAGATACACAACCCATCAGTAAGGTCAAACAGCGGTCCATGGCTGCTTAACTGTATATGACTTTATAAGTGCAGAAAGTCATAAGATAATCCCGTCTCCCACAGCACTGGTTCTGGACAAGAGCTCAACAATATTCATTCCCATGATGTGTTGCAACTACATGCTCACAACACATAGCCTAAACTGGAACAGTGTTCCTTCTAAGAAACACATGCATGATATTTACAGCACCGCCTTTACAAAACAACGTAGCTATGCACATTTTTGGTGCTAAAGAAGATATCTCCTTGTGTAATGTATGGTTGTGTTCCCTTCAGTTTTGACCTGCTTCTTTTCATCTTGTTTTTCTGATGGTCTATTGTTACCAATCTCTAGGATAATAAAATGTGTGCTGCTATAAGCCTGTAGGTTCTTTCTTTAACACAGTAAATATTTTTTCTGCTGAAAAAAAACCCTGTGGGTTTGAATACTGTCTCTTCTCTGTCACGGATACCACAGTTGCTCACCCAGTTAAAGGGCAGAACTGAGAG